CAATTTGGTCTCGATGTACCTATAGTCCACAAATCCACCAAATTGAGTGTTGTTCTCTTTTTGTGAGGTTGATCGTGCCCTTCAGATACATCAAGACCAAATTGCAAAGAGTCTAAAAATATAGAGCAAATATGGAAATTGTTTGTGACAGTTTACAGCATCGTTGGGAGAATCCTGTCAGGGCGTAGTATTCGGTCGTAGCCCACTCCCCCAGTAGTTGGCGGCACCGCCAAAGTCCTATACAACAATTATTTTCACTAGTTGATACTGGTAGTTGTGTGGTGGCAACATCTCTTCACTCATTCCGCTCAAATGCAGTTTTTTTGGGGAACTGAATTTTTATAGAGACGTGTTTAGAGTGATTTTTTTTCGAATTCACTTCTGCTTGAACAATGGGTGAGAATTCTCTCAACCATTTTTGATGGAACATTCTTAGAACTATCACAAAGTGGAGGAGCTCACTTCACTTGTAAAAGCTCATTCCAACTTATTCCTGCTTTCCGAAGTGATTTGAGTGATGGTTTTGGCTTTTCAAGGTGATTTGTGTAACAATTTTATTTTGCACTGGAATGTCATACAATCTTTATCCCTGGGACGAAGTAGGCGTGGCACTTGAACGTGGACACAGAATGGGTTACTCGTGGGATATTCCAGTTTGAGACAACTGTCATCTTGTTCTGTGTTGGACAGAGACACGACCACAATTGTGTCAAAATGGAAAACCCTGCTTAAATCTAATCTTCTGTTTCCTCTCTCGTATATCGATGTCCGATTTCCTCTATGTTTGTGGATGGAGATCACCAAAACAGCGTGATTCGTTGAATTTTCAATGTGTTGTGGAATGCAGTGGCAATTAAGATTTATAGTATGCTGGTGAAGCCTTTGATAGGGAAAAGCTGCGTTGTTAGTGGCCAAAAGAGGAGTTGCCAGGTCCCGGAACTCTAGAAAGTTTGAAGGATTTGCCAACAGAACTCGTCCGCACGATTTTGATATGGTGAAAGGAAGCGTGGATCGCAACTATGCATCAGCTTCACAACGGAAAGTTTCAGGCTACGGGATTAAGGTGCACTGCTGTTAGTGCTGACCGCAGGTTCATAACATCGCCTGCACTGGCATCTGTCGTATTGTTGTTTTGTGTGGTCC